GAGGCTAAGTCCTTTGTGATGATGTTTATAGTTTCATCCTCTGTATAAACTAATTTTCCTATTTAGATACCACCTTTTCCAAATCACAGATAAATTAAGTCAACTTTAGCTAATGTGGTAATGATTTGTAGTGAGTGGCAGAAATTCCTCTGTAATTATGCGTGAATTGATGTGTGATTTCCTAATGAGCTTAAGTGAAGAAATCATCATTTTGTGATAAATGCTTTATTTCTTAAAATGCTCGTAACACATTTCTAATAAATTTAATCAAGCGACTCGCACTCATGTAACATTTACAATTATTAAGTGTGCAGTCTTTTACACTGCCTTATAGCTTTGGCTGATTGCTGTGTGCTAAAGTTTAGCATTTCATAAACATGGTTATAACAACCATTATGTTATTTGTCCTCAGAACCATGAATTATTTCAGTTTGAAGTTAATTTACATTCTGTACAAGTTTTGTGCCTCAAAGGCAAAATTCTTTCACCATTTACATATGGATGTACACATCAGGAAATGAAATCAAGTGCTTCTACCTTTCAGGACACACCTCATCCTTCAACATGTTACGTGAGCAACAGCAAAGTCTCACTATAGGAAGCTTACTACTGGATTCTCAATTTAAAAAGAAATCCCAGACAACAGCTTCATCTCTCTGAAACATCCTTGATTAGTCACCTCCAGTCCTCCCAACTTTCCTGGCTGAAAACCAGTACAATATTCAACTTGGTAGCACAGCTGAATTTCTGTGGGAGGTGGGGAGGAAGAAAGCTTTCTAAAATGACCTGAAGGCATCTTATCCCATGATTTCTTTGGTAAGAATTTTAGCTCCGATCTTCCGTTCTATAGCAAGCTGCTGTAGGGGAATGGATGACCTCAGCAAGTCACAGATCTAGAGACTTTTGTGAGTCACCCCTTCCTTAAAGACTAGAAATCAGATACTTCCTACAAATCCACACATTTAGGTCCTGGAATTTAGCTATCCGAAGTGTACCATGTGGGTTAGCAACTTCCTAAAAGGAGTCTGCCTGACCAAGGGGAGCCTCCAGGTCTGTTATGCTTCCTCACACTCTCTTCACCAATCCCTTCTTAGAGTTTCAGAATAAAAAAGGCAAAAGAGGAAACCCATCTTGGCGTTCCACATCTGTAAGAAATTTTTGTTTCATTTCTCACTACAAATAAAAACTTTGTATAAAAGAATATTAAACTCAAGATGGTGAAGCTGGCTAGTTTTAAATGCTGAATCAGTGTTAAATGGTACTGGTAGTAAGTCTCAAATGCTATGATTCCTTACACAGTGCTGCTGTCCCAAGAGCTAGAAAAGATCATTCAAAGAACTACACATTAGCACCTCAAAAACAAGAAGAGATCTTACATGTATCAAATACATACAAAGGTTTATTTTGATGCTAGGGTGGATTGCAGCTATTTAAATTCAAGTTAACAAGAATATAGTCTACAAATAAACCCATACTGTTATCTCAAGAAGAAAAAGAAAGAGGCTTGGAATAACTACTTGAGCACCTAAGTTCCCTGGAACACATCATTAATGCATAATTATCACTGAATACATTGATTTTGGTTTGAACTTAGTAACTTATCAGTTGAACCCAAGTTCCAATGATCTACATTCAAAAGGATTTTATTACATGTTCAATTCCCTTAGGATACCTAGAAGAATTGTAGCACAAGTATATCTTAGCAAATCTCTCTCTTAAGAGCCTCTATATTATAGCTGTTAATAAATCCATCTAGATGATAATCTTCCTTCCTGTATTCCCACCTGTTCCCACTTGAGGTCAAAAAGGTGAGTGACAGTGACAAACTAAAATCCTCTTCCCTGAGCAGGTACTCGTTCCTCCCTAATCCTCCCAGGCATTCTTCAAGTTTTTTCCCCCCACTCTGGTATAAAGTGGAGTCACAGGAGAAGTCACAATCAAGCTTTGGATTCCTCCGTCCTGCCAACCCATTCTTGCCAAATTCTATCCTCTCACAGCCAGAATATGTTTCACAGCCTAATTCAGACTATTTAATCACTCTCCTTCAAATATCCAAACTTCTCCTCATCTAAGTTACACTCCCTGACTGTGTATTTGTTAAAGTTTTTGTGTTGCAATCAATAACAACGCCAAAGATTTAAAAAAAGATACAGTGATTATGTAGGCTGGGATTTTCAGAGGAGGAAGATATTGAACTTCCATGGATTCCAACAGGATGTGGGCTTCTGTTTGTTTTCCATGCCTTTTAGTATCTCAGGTCTAATATATCAAATATATTATGTGGGAAAGACAGAGGAAAAAAAAGTTTTGAAAAATGCAGGAGTAGTAGTTCGCTTCACAAGAACAGTAAATAATTGTCAGTTGACTGAAATGCTCAGGCTTCAGGAAAACCAAACAACTCCTGACTTTCTTCACTTTAAGGGACAGTGCATAATCTCCTTAATTCCACTGCATGCTTACAACAAAATACTAGCTTTTTGGTATAAAAGTTAACAAAGCTTTGACTTATTCAACCTCAAATGTCAAAATTTGCACTATTTTCCTGCAGCTGTGTGTGCTATTCCAACTGGCTTACACTTCAATGTTACTAATAAAGTCCATCAAAAAAGCACAAATACATTAACTATTTTATTAAAAGCTGTTCAAAATCTCACTTTCCTCTTGTAAAATTCTTCTGAATAAAGTTGTGCACATTTCTCCTTCCTCTGAAATGTGCATTTAATTGCACAAATAAGTACTGCATTTTTAAGTATGTAAAGGACAGGACATTGCAATTTGCTTTTTCAAGGAAGTAAACAAAGTATTCAATATTTCTCACTTAAAATACATTCATTATCCTTACACCTTCTGTTACACACAAAGCCAGAGGCTCCCTCTTAAAGGCATTGTGTTTTCTTTCTCTCTTCAAAAGGGTCCTGTATTTAGAACTGTTAAAATAGAATTTTCTTCTTACTTTTTTTTTTTTTTTAATATGGGTCTAGAGGTAGTATTTCTCCAATCTTGTACCATGTATACGGGATCAGTTACGACATTAGTGACCATTCCGTATTTCAGTGTAAAAGCCATTTTAAAGGGCAAAATACAATAAAATCATCAGGAGATTGTAGTATTAGCATTGTGTTTTCTCAGTCTAAACTCACATCCTGTAGTAAAAACCAAACACTGCATTCATATGATCAGGATCTCAGGTTAATTCATCAATAATATTTTATAATTTTATCTGGCCATCTACGTTTTATGAATGTTATTCGCACTTTCCACTGAGCTGTAAAAATAATGAACAATATAAATTCTATTTTTTATGTTTCCCTGAAACACCGAATAGTCAAAACTAAGCCATAACATCACTAAAACACACAAAGAAAAATTCATCATCAGACCATTTTTACAGAAAGACTGTTGAGCTACACACGTTTTGGTTAACATAGATTAGTTCTGCAAAATGAAAACAAAATATGTTATTCCTCCTTTCTATAAATATCCTGGATTCTAAGCTGATATGCGTACACAATCTGTCAGACAGTAAAAGACAGTTATGTATATTGTTTATTGTTTACCTAATAACACAGGCTAACTAATTTTGGAATAGTACTATTAGTGATGGCCAGCAGACAGTAACAATAATACACATTCCACTTGAGTAATAGTCCTTGCCAATTTTGCCAAAATAAGGTGACCAAATCTAGGAGTGCTGCAGCTATGCAGTGTTTTCTAATTGACTGACATGGACCATACCTGTGGTGCATACTCATATGAGCAGGTATAAACCAGAGACATCACAGCAGACAGTTGCTCTTTACAGCTCCAGCTAAAGAAAGGGTTTCAGTATATACCTAAAATAAATCAATTCTTGAATACCTTTCAAAACAGGGACCTCTGTCATCAACTGTGTTGTCTGTAACAGCACATTCCATTCCAATGGTAAAAGAAGACAAACAGATCTATACTGAAATACTGAAGCAGTAGGCATGACATAAAAACATAAATGTTTTAATATGTTAGCATTACCTGTGTCAGTGAATATCTTTATTGTAACTGATAATTTCATCTTATGTTGAACTATATTGGCATCAACAAAAGGCATGGAATGGATGGGATGAACGGAAAACAGGTACACTGCACCCAAAACTGTTTCCAAGAGTAAGCTGAGGTTCTTTGGATAACTTAGTAGAAACTTTGTATGAGTGATGTTCTTGAAAAGTTAGTGGTATTAAATGAATAGTAAATAGTACACTTTACCCCAAAAAATTGCACTCCCACTCCAGCATTTGCCAATATATGATATGAAGTTATTGGAACACATTGAAGATTAATGAGCACACTGAAATGTACCCACATCCCCTGTTTCGGTGCCACTTGGAGTCAAAATTATGGCATTAACTCACAGGCTCTGCATCCCAGGAACCAGAAAGCAGTGCCAAAGAATCCTTGTTAAGTTATAATTACAAGATTTCTGTTTTGCCAGCCACTTCAGGGGCAGATGCATGTGATCTCAACAAGCCAGCTCCTTAGTATTAGATTGAAACAGGACGAGATCATTAATTAAAACTAGTTAAATAATGAAAAATTCCAAATATTTTCTATAAACTGCTCTAATTTTCCAGTGCACCATAGCTACAGTCTACCATACGCAAGTCTATGTGGTTTTGTAATTAAAGTCTGACAGAAAAAGGGGAAATATATCTCTAAGGAAATACAATTTGGCACACAGAAAAAAAAAATTAAAAAAGAGATAGATCAGAGTAGGTGCAGTCCAGCATCAGATGAAGTGTGGTTTAGCTAGTTTTTTAAATTTAGTCCTGTTTTTGCCATATTTCTTATATGATTCTATGAAATTTTAAATAAATTCAGAATTATAAAGGGAATAACTTGCCTGCCTCATGCAGTAATAGAAAGAAGGCTGACTGTAGTAACTTCCATTTTCTTACATACAATAAAACCCTTGAGACATTCCTATTAATAATCACTGACAAACGCAAAGAAAAAAATGAAATAAAGACCTGAGTAAAGTTTTAGGAAGAAGTGGCACTTATCAGTCGTGGAATTCATCTGGGTATGACACAGGTTGTTGGAGACATAAAGCCATTGAAAGTCCTTCCTTCAGGGTTCTGGAATATAAAATATTCATGGTGTATAATTTTGCATAATTTGTTTAGCTACTGAAGCATAATTTAGTTCCTTGCCACACACATACAAAGAAAAAAATGAAGGAAAGAACAAAATACTTTACAAAAACTAAAGATCTTTACTATTTTGTTGTGTGCGGTGTATGATATCCTCATGCGTACAACTAGTCTTTAGATATTAGAAATAAACAGATTATGTACAGATATCAATACCAAAGCATCTTTAATGTGTTTGGTGTTAGGTTCTCGTGCTTTTGTTCATTTGCTGAAGATATTGACATTCCCCCAGCCACATGCTGTAGTCTCAGAAATACATCTGAGTTGGGCATAGTCAAGATCCAGATTCCAAAAGCATCTTCTGCTGTATTCACCAGCTCTAGGATAGTTTGTACTTGCTCGAAAGCTGTGTACAAAGAAAAAACACATCTACAAAGAATACAAGAAATGTTGTGGATAGGATATTCAAAGCTATTGGTATTTCAGCCTGATTTCCCTTCCACTGAGCTAAATCTAATCTGAAATGAACTCAGCAGTTCAGAACACAAAGCCACAAACTCTGCCCTGGATTTGCAAAATCAAACCCAAATCCAGGGTTGCCCATGACAAATCCACACCCTTTTTCTGAAATTCTGTGCCAAAGTCTCAGTGACTAGATTCTAACGAACACCACAAAATAAGAACAAGTGTTCATTCCTTTTCAACCATTCTCATATGCTTTCACACTTTTACTCAGTTGCATAGTAAAAACAATTGCAAGACAGCATTGAAAGAAAGAGCTGAGACTTCAAGAGCTCACACTTAAAAATACAACATACAAGAGACAGGGAAGGTGAAGAGTGGCAACAAGATAACGAGAGAGCTAAACTGGTAAGCTCCACGATAATTTGTCTTGTAAAGAATTTATGTGTTATACTTACAGACTGTCATCTGATTTTTTAAAATTTCATTTTATGAAATTTTAATAGAAGGGATCATTAAAAAGAGTAACTTCTTTTCTACACAGAGACAAAAAGATTACTTACAAAATTGCTGTGAATCGAATTTTGTTAATTGTTCTTTCAATTTTAGAATATATTGGGAGATTGTTTTAGCATTGTTTTTCCATATTTATTGTCACAATATTTTTACAACCACCTGTAAACCATAATAGACTTTATACTTTTAAATAATGGCTACACCTCACTTTCTTCTCTCCCTCCAACACACTTCACAGGGAGTTTGGCCCAATCAAGAGCTTTTGGATTACAACACTACCAAATACAATGTGCAAATAAAACTATGAAGAGAAACATGCATTACATCTTACAGAAGAAGTCTCAAAATTTAATGAGAGAGTTATACTCTCCATTTCCCTCAAAAACTAGACAAAAATGAGCATTTAACTACATTTAGAAGCTTTCAGATATCCCATCTCAGTTGTTAAGAAACTCATGTGGAGAAATATAGATAGACAGACAGAGAGATGTATTGTTCTGCTCTTTCACTTCAGCCACTGAAGCCACAGAGAGCTGTCCGTTTCCTGTCATGCTACAACAGAGCCCAACATGGCAAACAAAAGAATGAAAATCATCACGAAACAGGCTAAACACACCTGATTTTGAAAGATATTTTCTTGAATTGTGATGCCTTTTTATATAGGAAATGGAATCTGTGTATTTATTTGCCATCTAAATTTCCTTGTGTAAAACCCACTAATTTTGGCCAATTACAACATAAGTAGTTTAAGTAGTGTGTCATCACCTGGAAGGCCTGATAAGGAGAAAAAATCACCAATAATTGAAAGATGTTATGACCTTACCAGTATGTACAAAACTGTAGAACAGGAAACCATCTATTCAGCACAACCCCAAAGGAGTTTCTGACCTGCTATCACCAGAGGCAACATAACCTTCTTGTGCAAAATTACTTTCCTCTCATTTTTTAGTTCACACAAAAATCAGAAAGCATGTAAAACAGATTGGGATGGAAGATAGAAAAGAAGTAAACACAACAGAAATTCCTGCAAACTCCAAATTTTCTTCCAAGTCCCTAACCAGCAGATCAGACTTGACCCTTTCCAAGTTAACTGCCTGTCAGTTCTGCCTTTGGGCTCCCAGAAACTCTGGGAGCAAGAATTGCCTGGCTTGGTCAACCAGCAGCAGCGTATGTGTTGCCTGCATTTACCATCTGTTTGCGAAAGAACAAAGTGATAGTATATAACATAACAGTTATTTAAAACCCTTTGGAAAATCAAGTCACTACTGCTGAGCGTTTCTATACCTCAGGCTATATGAAGACAAGTTAAGTGCTGATTCTGAACTCTACCGTTTTGTTTTATTTCACTACGATGGGTAGGCTGGGAGTTACCCAAGACAACGAACGTAGCCATAACCCTTCTTCATGGTAAACATATAATTTCCCCAGTGATCCAGTAAGCAATAACAAAAAGTTATGTGTAGTACATATAGTGTTTATATTCCCCTGGGTTTAATATGGCTCACAGTAAAATTGATTTTCTGGAATCTTGCAATAAACCTCATCAAAGTAAATGAAACCCACGCTGGCTTTTTATAAAGTGATTGGATTCAGGGTGATAAATTAACCCTCACCGTCAGAGAGACTCCCAATAATGCACTTGCTCGATTAAACTCCTCCAGACTCTGTTTAGTTTTTAATTTTTCTATAGGACTTATTTAACTCTCTCAAAGCTTCCAACTTAATGCTTGCAAAAGGGATAGCAGCTGAACATTGCACTTTTTCTTCTCAGACTAAACAGATCAACCAGATTTATATTTGCTGAGCACTTCGTTGACACTATTCTCTAACATATATATATAAAACACTGGTAGCTATTTCTATCCTGTGGGAGTAAGGAGAAGGGAAAAAATGACTTTCTGCTTACTAAGAGTTCCTAATCAAACACCAGGAACTGAGAAGGATTTAATAATTCTAAACTTTTGTACACATGTAAAGTCAGCATTTGTAAGAAATGCTAGAGCAAAATCCAATGGATACCCTGGAATAACTGACAGAAGTCTGGCTCACAACATGCTTTCCTCCACTATCCATTCCCAACAGATGATTCTCACCTGAAAAGACCACCTAGACTTGCCAAGGCAGATTATTCCTAATTCTCTGCCACTCTTTGGACATTCCAGTTTTTCCACTGTTCAGCTCCCATTTCAGCAGGAGGCAAGATGTGTAAAAAAAATAAATTCAAAGTGACCTTCCCTAACGTTCCTCAACAGCCTTGTGACTTTCTGGAAGAAAAAAGTGTATGACGTCTATTCACAGCTACCGTGCAATATACACGAGAACTATTTTTGTTGCCATATTTATTCCTGGTTAAATGAAAAAATTATTCATTTAACCAGGAGTAAAACCTCTGAGATTTTTTTTCTCATTTCCCAGCCTGTCTGGGGAAAACAGGCTGCAGTAAACAATCATGCCCTATTTTATTCCTACTTAAATGAATTATCATAATAATAATTACTAGCAAAAACATCTGGTTTCTGCTCAGCACAGACGGCAAATTCTTTGACACATTGCATGCATTTCCCCTTCTTCTTAGTCTCCAGGCTGAGGGTCTCAGGCTTTTTTTAGACCAGTATACATGCCAACCTCACAGCATGCCTGATGGTACAGATTTATGGAGAGACTGCTGATGACCATAAAACGTTTCCTCTGTTTTTTCTGCCTCCAGAAAATTATGCCTTTGTAATAATATCTTCTCTTTAGAGCATTTCCCTGCTTTTTATACAGATGACATTTGCATGTAAACAGGTTCTTGCTGTTTTTCTTCACTCCTAAACAACAGCCAGAAAAAGTAATGTTCCCTTTAGCATCATATTGGCCTGTTATTGTAGAATGATCCTAGTGCCACTATTTAACATTTGGAATTAGAAAATGGGGTTATCCAACAGAAGCAATTTAACTTTCAATTTAATTAATATTTCTACTATAACAGAAGATTGTTATTTTGTGGAAAAGAGAAAGAAGAATTACAGATAATCTCATTTCTCATGTGAGACTTTGAACAGCCCTAATATTTAAGTGCACTAACAGTATTGTCCTTTGCATTTTCATAACACCTTTTATCAGAGGATCTGCATTAGTGGCTACTTGAGTTGTTCTGCCTTCACTGAACAACGCTGGGACAGAAAGGAGAGCTCAAACTCAGCAGTGGTCATCATCCAAGCAGCCTAGAAGTACGAAATAGTTGGGGGAACCACATGAAGTCAAATGCTGCCTGCTGTCATGATCGCTGCACATTTTTCCTTGAGGTACAAGGGCATGTAAGGCCCCTGAGAGTCTTGCTGGGTTTTAAGGAGTGATGTGTACGAAGAAGCCTACTCAGGGCCTAAAAAAAAGGTTAAAAAACCACCAGAGAAGAAAGAGTTTAACATATCACTTCAGAGCCATGAGGTTTAAAAGAAAAGCTTCATAACTTTGGGGAGCCATTCAGCATCTGTGGTCACTGTGCTATGCAAAGCTTCTTGAAAGGGAGAGGAAACTCTTGTGGGAGGACAGGCATTTATTTTCACAGCGTGCCTGCAGCCCAGTGTGTTATGACCACGCTGCATGTGGCACAGCCTTTTCCAAAAGAGTCTGCCCGGCAGTCTCCAGCATTTCACCTTCATTGAACCAGCCACGTTTCTCACCTTTCATCCTCTTCAACCTCCTGGCCCGGGGAGGTGCCCTTCCCTGAGTAGAGCAGGCCCTGCTGCTGCACACAGTGAAGGGGATGGCACGCTCCTTCTGCCCCTGGTGTGTGACAAGGCCCTCCCTCCTGCTCACAGCTGTCTCAGGGCTGCTCTGCGCTAAATCATACTATGTCTGTATTGGTGGACAGCAGGTATCAACTCCAAAGCCGTCCTGAGCTCCCTCACCACTACAAGGGTATGTCAGGTCACCCCAACCTCACTTCCTTGCCAGAGTGACTCCTATGCCAGAAGTACAAAGGAGATTTGCCAGAGCTTGGCTCGCAAACAGCTTATTAATAT